ATGCAAGTACCTGTGGAAAATCCTTGCTTGGTGGTATACGGCAAGCCTCTGTGTCATATTCTGTACGATTTGGTAGATGAGGTAGTGAGAGAACAAAGTGAGCCTTTTCGTTATTTTTTAGGATGTAAAACATGTTTTAATGTACATCTTATCAGAACCTTCCAAATACAATAAGGCCTGTGTATATTCTCCCTATGTTGCTGATGCAGAAAGGAAGGCTTAGAGATCTGAAGGGACTGTGTGAGACAGCTACTGAACAGAACTGAGGTTCTAAGTCATCAAAGTAGACATGGAGGTTGTAGTGATGCCAAACTCAGTTCTTAAAGAACTTGACAAACTCCAAAATGTCTTATATTATAAGGTCTACCCATAACATAGACCTCTCTTGGAACTTACTTTCATCTTGATTAGTTCCTTTTGCATTTTATTTTACACAACTTACAGGCAACATTTACCTCTCCATTTTTCATCCTAAAGAGATGGATCCTCACTGTGTGGCACAGGCTGGCTTCTGACTCCTGGCCTGGGCTTAAGCACTTCTGCTGCCTCAGCCTATAGAAGAGCTGACAATACAGGCATGTGCTTTCTCTCCTGGCTCTGCCTTCTGTCTATACATTTATTGAAATGGATAAGGATAAAAATAGGGGTAACAAAATGGCTTAAATTTACAAGTCAAATCAACAGTTTAATAAATGTTGAAGAGTTTCTTCTGCTAACTGATTTGAAGCTGAGAATGCCCTGGTCAGGAGAAGCTGGCTGGAGGGCAGGTAAGGCCCCACACATTAAGCACAGGATATGAATAAGAAGTGTTAAGTCAGAGCAGTTAAAGAAAAATAGTTTGTGAGCACAGAATTTACCATTTTATGTGTATGTGCATGACAGTAGGTTTCTATATGTCTCTTCACATGTATTTTTGTGGTATTCGATAAAGGGAAAACAGAAACCTCAATTTCAGTGTTTATTCTTTGGCCAGGCATGGTGGCCCATGCCTGTAATCCCAGCATTTTGAGAGGCCGGGGTGGGTGGATTGCCTGAGGTCAGGAGTTCGGGACCAGCCTGGCCAACATGATGAAACCCCATCTCTACTAAATATACAAAAAATTAGCCAGGCGTGGTGACACGTACCTGTTCAGAACACTCAATATGAAGTATAGACACATTCAAAGTTTGTTGTTAATATCTTTATTTCAGAAAATTGTGTATTACTTTTCTTGGAAAGTGATAAATTCCTACTTAGATGTGAAACATTTTAGCCTTTCTGTAATGAGGAATTGAATTCTTTTGGTGACTTACACAAATATCACAGCAACCAGTGCTCCAACCATTCTGTGACACACGAAACAGTCATTTAAAGTCATCAGGTAGAGCAGGGCACACTGCTGTGGAAAGACATCCTGGAGTGCTCTCTAGGTGGCAAGCCCTGTTTCAGGAACTCGTGCCATAAATGATGCTCTGCTTCGTTGTTCTCTTCTGAAATATTTCAAAAGAACATTGTGCCTTGAAGCCATTTCAAAGAGACATTCTAAGAACCCACTTTAGATCTGACAGACTCAAACATATTTCATCCTATCTTGCCTTTATTTAGCAGTGTATCTAATATGACTGGTGGTAATATAAGTAATGCAGACTAAGATAGTAGGAGCTCATATCCAATTTTATCACTACCTATCAACTTTTCATGCAGCCTTTTGTGTTCTTACCTTAGGAACACTGCTAATTTGCTGGCTCTCTCAAGTGAGGGGTCAGGGAAGGGAAAGAATGGCATATGATGTAGAGACCTCTGAGCAGCAGGTCTTTCCATTTTCTAGTAGCTATTTTCAACCCTCCTTTTAAAGTAACTATTAGTATGTTTCATGTAAAAGATGTAGAAAATAAAGAAAAAATTTTTATTGTACTCAGAATACCCAGAGCTTGTGTTACTATCTGAGTACTGGTTCTTTTGGAAATTGTTGGTATGCATTTGAATATAATACTTTATTTCACAAACTTTTTTGTGAAAAGTTTTATTTTAAAAACTTTTTGATCATTTTATATGTGCTGCCTTGTAACTTTTACTTCAAGCAGTGAAATAATGGCATAAGTTTCTCAAACAGTACTTGACACCTAGAGAGCACTCCAGGATGTCTTTACATGCAGGGCACCCTGCTGTACCTGATGACTTTGAATAACTGCTTAGTGTACTACGGACTGGTTAGAGCATTATTTATTTACCTACCCTTTGCGATTGGCTGTCTCTTTTCATAAGGTCAGACACAATCCTGTTATGTTTGATTCTAAGAACATACATAAAGCACATGTTGATGACAGATGCGTGATATCTCATTATAAAATTCAGATACTATATTTTATCTAGTGACATAATTAAACCGATGAAATGAGTCATTTTGTATTTAAGGTATTTTAGTATTAACTATACTTGTGTAAAACTGCAGTTACCATTGATTTTTAAATACACATTAACATTCTTCATTTATGTTTTTGTGGATCTTGATAGCTTATGTCTTTAATTCTAAATAGCTATGAGTTTAAAAAATCTGATGCTGTCTTAGATGATAAATCAAAAGACAACTTTAGCAGATCGGGGCAAATTGGGAGAAACTTAACTAGTTTGGGGTAAAATGAAATCTATTTCTTGAGCACTTTTAAATGGCCTGGCAGTGTTGCAGATGCAGGGCAAACAGTGGAACACAACATAGAGCCCCATTCTAAGTCTGACCCTTACATCCGATAGGGAGGTAAGGGCAGATAGCACATGAATAGTCAAGAATGGCAGGTGGTGACGTGCTGGGAAGAAAGTAAAACAGGGTGATGGATTAAAGAGGAGGGCAGCTTTATGGAGAGCTGGGGGTAAGAGCTGGATGTTCTCTTTAAGTGACA